ACTATAGTATATTATACTGGACAATTATACTTGCTGGAACTCCAGTATAATATGCTGGAGTTCAAGCATACTTATGCTGGAACTCTAGTCTAATATACTGGCGTATTTTCCGGGTTTTGAACAGTGTTTTCGCTCAGATTTATCTTTACATAAAAAGTGGCTAAATTTCGATTACTTTTGAAACTGAGCTATTTTTGAACGACCTGTTGTAAATTTGGCTATTTTTTAATTTCTCCCTATAATGTCTGCTAAAAGGCCAATTAAAATTCGAAAAATACCCTACCCTATAAACCTTTGCACTTTACCTTTGTGGTCCCTTAACTTTCTATTTCTGGTCATTATCAATCATTCCCAGCTTTGCCTTGTTTTTTCCTCCTCTAATGCTCTTAAGCTACTCAATCTCTAGTCCAACTGGACAAAATCCTATATACTTACCAACAACTTATATATATGTATCACTAGTTAGTAATGTTCAAAATTATCTGTAAGTGTAGATAAAAATGGAAACTAACACTATCCTATTCAGTATGAGTCTACTTATTGTATTGGGCTTGGTCGGATCCGACCCGGATCCACTCCAAGATTACTGTGTGGCTGATACCAAAAAAGTCACAAAAGAAAATTTCTATTGCAATGGTGTGCCATGTATCAATCCAGACCATGTAGAAACTTCACATTTTGCAACATCAGCTTTATCCAAACCTGGTAAAATTAGCATAATGTTTGGTTTTAATGTAACACTTACTACAATTTTCAATTTGCCAGGTTTGAACACTCAAGGACTAACTATGGCACGAATAGACATCGATGCAAATAGTCTCGTGCCCCCTCATTCTCACCCTCGAGCCTCAGAAGTGGCTATTTTAATAAAGGGTTCACTTTTAGTAGGATTTATCAACACTTCAAATCACTTGTTTACTCAGAATATGCAACCTGGAGATTGTTTTGTTTTTCCTAAAGGTTTGATTCATTTTCTTTATAATACGGATTCTAATGAGCAAGCATTGGTTGTGTCTGGGTTGAGTAGTCAGAATCCTGGTGTCCAAATGGCGTCTCCTGCTGCATTTGGGACGAAACAAAATATGCCAGATGAAGTATTCAAGAAGGTATTTCAGATCAATAATCAAGAAGATATTACAAGAATTAGAACAAACCTTGGAGGATGATTATGCCTTTTGATATTTCTAGTGTTGAGTGTATATGGTATTTTTGTTTCAAAAGAATTTTATTTATTTTTGGAGTAAAAGTTTGCTTAGGGTTGTTTAGTTATTCGGAAAACCAAAAAAAAAAAAAAAAATAGTTTAGATTTGGTTGTAAAATGCCTTGCCTATGGTTACATCATACATGTGTGTTATACTAATTTTATTGAACAAATTACCATGCCAGCCTCTGACAAATGGTTCCTGTTGGTGACTAATTGGTGGGAGAATTGTATGTGTAACTTTTATTTATAATTAAAAAAAATTGAATTTAGTGGTATAAATGGTTCCTGTTCGTGGGTTTATTTAAGAAACAACAAAAGTGTTTTTCAAATTGGAAAAACACAGATGATGTCCTAAATTCATGCTTTGTGATCAAATGAAAGAATCCAATTAGAAATATTGAAGTAGTTTGAATTTACAAGCTATGATTGATTTAATATACGAACAAATTAACAATCGTTTTTATCTAAAGGATGTATATTCATTTTCAAGGCCTACCAAAATAGGGACAATAATCGCTTTGTCAAGATTCTTGTCTTTATATTGTCAAAACGAAACAAGTGATCTTCGACTGGATATCTAAATAATTCGAACTTATTGAACAGAACTAAATCCAATTGAAACCAGCAGGTTAACGCTTGAACAGAGTGTCATAATTCTTATTTTGAAAAAATTGCTTACTTTGATGCCATTTGTTAAAGCGTTAGAATCTTTTGATGAGATGGTCTCACAATTCAAATTAATATTAGAGAAGACAAAGCTTTTGTGTTCAGGTGTTACCATCACCCACTATCAAAAAAATCTTTGCATACTTGGCCGGGCCGGCCCAAGGGTAAAGCTGCTGCTTTTGGCCTCATAATTTTTGGGGCCCCAATATTTCCTAATAGCTATATATTAATTTATTTTTAAAAGAATATTCAGTGTTTTATATGAGAAAGTACAGATTTTCATAGTAATTAAGTAAGATTAGATTGTTGATGATAAATTAAGAATTTTTTTATATATTGGGAATCATTTTCTAGATCATAAATTGAGAAAGAATTTGATTGTTAATTCATAATTCAAAAAAAGGTTGAAACTTTAATACAATCTCAAAATATGTTGTTGATAAATTTTTAGCGAACAATAAAAACCTTAAATTAGAAAGTAAATCTCAAGAGAAATTAAATGAGTTAGATAAAATTATTAATAACTCTGCATAAGAAAAGCTAGAAATATAGAATTTAAATGAAATTACATATGAACTTTTTTTATATATATAAAAAAAATGTCTCTCATTGAAATTTCGCTTTAGGCCTCCATGTTTATTGAGCCGCCCCTGATACTTGGCTATGAAAAAGATTCAGGAATGCATGTGAAAGAGGGGCATGTTGGAAACTTAATTTAGTAAATAAAAGGATGGATTTCTCTAGCAACTTAGATTTTTAAATGAGATTGTCATATAATCTTATATATTAGAAATTAGAAATTAGAAATTAGACAACAAATTTTGAGTTTAAATCTCACCACCACCCTAAAAAGAAAACAAAATAATATTTATGTGTTTAGCCCATGAAAATGCTTGTTTTGAATAGCGAAGTTATTTTTAGTAGTAAAAGAACCAATCTTGTTAAGGAAGTAGTAACTTGCTATTAAATTGATTTATTCAGTTTGAAAACATAGAGATACAACAAAACTATGACAATGATGCAGGAAATGCTTTCTTTCGCCTATCCCAACTATTTTAATCTACTATTTTACTATTCTTTCCGTCCAAATTTATTTGTTCTTTATTGACTTTGGCAAACCCCTTTAGAAATAATAAATAATATAGTAATTTTATTATATTATTCTTATTTATTATATGTTGGAAAATCGAACTGGAAAAAAATAGTACTTAATAAGAAGGGTAAAATAGGTATAATATATAGTATTTGATTTTTCAAACTGGACAAGCAAAAGTGAACATTTATTTTTAGTATAGCAAACTAGTAAAATTAGATGGAGGGAGTCTCTCCCACTAAAAGAAGTATCAAATGTCGATCAAAACTTAAGCATATGAAGAGAATATTTTATTTGTTTGAATATATTCGAGACAAATAGAAGGAGAGCCTTGGAGTAATGAAAAATAATCTTCGAGTGACCTATAGATTACGGGTTCGAGCCGTAGAAGCAGCCGTTTATCTGCATTATACTCCTTGAGGTGCGACCTTTTACTGGACCTTGCATGAATGTGGAATGCTTTATGCATCGGACGGAAAAGAAAAGAACGACAAAGAAAACTCTTATGATACATTGATCGGATTATTAGCATATATTGTATTATGATACATTTCATTGAAGAATATCATCCATAAACAGAACATTAAAACAGAACAAAGCCAGAGGACTAAATTTTATTTCCTTCTTTGAGACAAATCTACACTATAACGGTCAGCGCCACTTCATATTCCAACAATGACAGAGTATAAATTTTTAATGTGCAAATTGCATGATAAATGCCAATTATTATATTTCGAATCTGATACCTGCAGCAAATATATGGCCAATAATTTATTCCCTCTTCTAATTTTGTTTTTGTTGAAATTATACAAAAGCATGTGAGGAGACGCCAAATGAGGAATTTTAAATGCATATTATTCTAATTATTGACAATTATAACAATATAAAAAAAGGCAAATAAATAAAGTGCGCAATTACCAAAACCTCTAAGCTGCCACATGACGGTATCAATGCTTTCACTGTTTCAACCACATGAACATGACTCGTAAATCCATGTTTTTTGAAATTACAAATCTTGTTGCTAAGATAATGGACTGTTGAATTCATACACATTAATAATATAGTAGATATATTAAGAATTACTTGTCTACTATTATCCAAGAGAGGTTGGAATTGTAAAATAAGTGATTTTCATTAACAAAAAAAAAACAAAAAATATTTTCGATGTTTTGGTTATTGACTTAGGGAGTAAAAATATATCTTCTGAAAAATAAAGATTGATAATATTGTTAGCAAATTGAATGGTATTTTGTTAAAATATCAGTATTAAAGATTGATAATAATGTATAAGTATTGGTTGTAAACGAAATGCCTTCTACCCATATATGAGAAGTTAATTCGTTCCTTTTAATGAAAAATATTTTTCTGAAAATATATTTTTTGGCATTCAAATATCAGAAACTGACTTATATTCTAAAAAAATTCTGGTCATTCTAACTACCCTTAACCTTATTATGTTAACTAGTAAATTTACCCGCGCGAGAATTTAAGTTTTAGCTAATTAAGAAACTTAACGAAATATCAATAAGAATTTAAAAGGCTCAAACTAAAATTAAATTTAGATAAATTTCATCTTAAGACTACTAATTATGAAAGTAAAAATAGTTAAATTATAATTATTCATATATTAAAAGATGAAAATATATAAATGAAATACAAATTTTTATATTAGCAGAACCGTTGCCTCTTACCTTGTCAATATTTTAATACCTTCCTTGTTTTTGGAAAGTATATTCTACATACCTTGTATTAAAATAAATAATAAATATCTAAAAGTAGATTGTATGAATTTAATTATTTCAAATTAATACTTACGATGTAACCTAGACGTAAATCTAGAACACAATGAAGCTTATCTTGACAAAACAACCCTTTTGTTGCAAGGTTATCATATAAAACAAATAATAATCTTCAGTAAAAGATATATATATATATATATATATATATATAACATTTAAAGTATCAATAAACATTGGAAAGTACGCATATGGAATAACTACATAAATATATACAAGTTTTCTATGTAGAAATAATATACTCATACGTACCTATAACTTCAAGTATAAATATTTTCAAACCAAAAATCAATAAAAATTGCACCTATATTTTTTGTTATACACAGGTTAAAGGATTAAAATAAAAAGAGATAGTCCCAACAGCACAACAACAAAATGCAAAAAATTATTCATGTACTCGAAAAAAGAGTATTTAACTGGTGATGCTTTTTGGAGATACTTCCTACTACCAATTTTTCATCAACTTTCTTCTTCTTTTTAATGTAAACTTATGTGTATGTCTTTTATCCGTATGTTTTATTCATCACATAAATATAAAGAACTTAACCTAAGTTTGAATGATTTAATAGCATTTGAATAGAGTCTCTATTTACTTATGATTAGAGGAAAAATAACCCATTTATGGAATTTTTAAAATCCAAGAAACATTACAAATGAGTTTATTATACTATTGTTCTCTGCACCACGTCAAATCCAGAAAATACAATTTCTTCATTTTATTACATAAAAAAACGACCAATTTAAATCAATATGAGATGACCAAACACAAAAAGGGAAAAGGAAAAGTAAATACACCGAGAGTCTTGTGTTAAGTTTATCCCTTCATGACTTGCTTCATTACTATCAATCATTCTCATTGCGACGCATCTTTTTATCTTGTGCTTCATCTTCATAAATAAATTAAAGAAAAAAGTCAACTTTCACTATTTTTAATTAAAACTTATAGTAAGCAGAACATGTGAAAAAGAAAGAAAGCAAGAAAACCTTGAAGTTTAGAAATTGGCAATAAGAGCTTTGCCTTTAATTTATTCATTTTGTACTTCCTCTGCATCACACGAAACTAACCAGAGTAGTCAATTTTCATTATTCTAATTAAAAATTAAAAAATTAGTATAAAGCCGAATATATATAAGAAAGAAAGCAGACCTTGAAGTTGCAAAAGTTTCAAAGAAACGCCTTCCATTGAGAGAAGAAAGCAATACAGTTTCGTTGAATGTTAGGTGCGTTTAAATAGGAACAAAGAATGATTAGATATCAGAACTGATTGACTTTTGAAATCTAGTGTTAATGACCTTGTTAAATACGGGAAGGGAAAAAGGACGTTTCGAATATTTGAAGAGCAGCCTTTGGTGATGACTCTATTCCAAAACGCATGGATAAAGTTGTAATCTAAAGAATATGTAAGATCATATCTTTTAGAGAAAAAGAAATTAATAACTACGGGAAAAAGTGAGAAAAAATGCCAAATAAATGAGAGAAACGATAAATAGTAATCCTAATGCCAAATAAATGAGAGAAAAGATAAATAGTAATCCTAGCTTAAGAGAGATGTCATGTCAACTTTCTTTTTCCCGCCTTTATATATACTATATAGATTGTTAGCAATGCTTATTGCCCTATAGTTCTTTGAGCTCATTATAGCTTTCTTCTTCAATCAAATGGCATTATTTTAACTTTATGTGAACAATATGATGATTTTAAACAACACATGGAAAAGATGCAGTAAAAGTTTCATTTCCTTGTTTTATTACATTTTGTGATCTTCCATTTTATTTTGCATTTTTTTGGATAGCCGCGATCTGATGTTAATTTTCAATTTAAATGTCAGCTCTAGGTTTGAAGCGACCCATTTAATTAACTCTCACAATGTCAATGAATTCTTGTACCCAAATTAGGAAAATTGGTCCAAATAAAAAAGAAAAAGATTTATTTTTCATGAATTAATGAAGCATGGCACGTACGTACACATCAATGTGAAAAGCCATAATCCCAATTAGATACTATAGGGCAAGGAAATGTTCACTAGACCGACCAAACTATGAATGGTCAGCTTGCCTGTGCAAATAGTGGCTAAAGTTCATAACAAAGAGATCGTATTTGGCACGATTTCTTTTGAGTATTTGTGGACATAATAGAAACCAAACAAATATTAAAACATCAATGGTTGAAGTCAATGGTTATCAAAGGCAAAGAACACTTCCAGCTATTTTCCATGTGCTTCACTTTGATATTCACATTAAAAATTTGGAGCCCCACAAATCATACACACAAAAATTTTACAACTACAAGTTGGACAAGTCAAGTATATATTTTAAGCATATCCTTCTTGCAAAGGAACCTCCAAATAGAAATTAGAAAAATTGATTTTGAAAACTACTACTTTGATGCTAAGTAACAACTAAAGCTTAAAGCTTCCCCTTATGAGTTGGAGTTGGACATTCCCTTTTTTAACACTTCATCTTTTCTATTCGCCGTTTTATGTTTATCTTTACTTTGTCAACTCCCCCAATCATTAATTCTTTCTATAAAGTTCCTAGTCACATTAATCTTTTTCCTAACAAAAGAAAGAAAGATAAACAATTATTAACATTACCTAATCAAGAGAACGAAAGCTAACTAAGCTTCCGTTACTAAGATACCTATATTTTAGAAACATCTAAACGTGTTAGGCAATGAAGCATGAAAGACTAGGGTTAAAATTCGCAATAAGGACAAAAAAATATTTAAGTGTTAGTAGACAGAGTTATCTCTAAATGATTTTTTTTTTTTCATTTTTCTAAGTGATAGTATGATAGATATGGTTGTCTGTTATCTATATTGGTGGAAGTAAGACATTCGATAAATTAGTTAATATACATATAAACTGACTTCGGCCGATGCTATTAAAAGAAGTACCATAAAAATTACGTTGAAAGTAACACATAAGTATGCTTAGATTATACTGGTTGGCTGAAATGGACACAAAGATTATGCGTAGGTTATACTAATTGGCTGAAAATGGGAAACACAAAGATTACTAACTCGTCTCCGAGGGATCGTTTGGTTATCGGGATTAAGATATTAATCCCGAAATAAAAGTTGAAATGGTAATTATTTCATACTTGTCTATCGGAAACAACCTCTCTATCTTTATAAGGTAGGGGTAACGTCTGCATACACAATACTCTCTCCCGACCTCGTTTATGAGAATACATTGGGTTCGTTGTTGTTATTGTTGTTTGCAATTATTTCATATTTGATAATGAATATTAGTTAATACCAATATAAATTTTATACCAAAATCTTGATATTAACTATCCACATCGGAAGTGAGATAATAATCCCAAGAGTACTATTTGAAAATTTTGGCAGTCATTTAATCTCAAGAAAATTGACTGTAGCAACATTATTAACAAACTTGTGTAATTATGTGGAGTCTTCAAATGGGAGAAATTAGAAATACCAAGAGAAAGAAACAAGAAACGAGTTATTCCTCTTCTCAAGTATATACCAACATATAAACCGAATCAATTCTCCAAAATTGTTCCAAGTCCGTGGAACCAGCAAAAAAATTTAACTCCTAAATAAAACACATTACATCATTTTTTTCCATCTAATCACTCTGTACAAGGCTATCAAAGAATCACTTAAATCACCTTGTCAACCAAAAAAAGTGTAAAAGAATGATCAATCAAATGAAATAATTAGAGTAACCAAAAGGATTAGAACTAGTTAAAAAACCCAAATTATGTCTCACTTTGCTCCTGTAATTGTGCTTGTATAAATCATAAGGCTCCCAAAGATAATCCAACGGACATGGTCTTTTCTCATCAAGTCTAACCCATGGTTTTCCTTTTCCACTCCAATGTAACAAACTTACTGGACCTGGATGTAATGACCTACACGAGCCTTTTACATTATCACCGCCGAGCCCATGTTGATTCCACCGGTGATTAATGGGCTCGACGAGCCCACCAAATACGAGCAAAAACGGCGGCAACGAGCCCAATTCGTAAATCCTCTTTTGTCTCTGTAACTCCATCCACCTCTCTATTTTCTGCCTGTAATTTCCTTCTCTCCATTTCTTCAAGTCCATTACCATTACGCCCGTGTTGAAATAACAAGGGTTTCTCGACCCGAACACCCGGGGCAATATCGGGTCGGACCAGAATGTATCGGTGAAGTATATCGTGAAATTCGCGTGGCAGTATTCCGGTGCTCCGATGATTCGGGACCCGGTAAGGTTCACCTTCCACAGCTTCTGAATATCGTCGACGAGTACTACGTCGGAGTCTAAGTAAATGACACGTGTCACACACGGGTCTAGCATATCGCCCAAATAGTTTCGGGCGTAGTTTAACGGGTTTTCGAGAGCTTGTCGGATCGATGAAGAGATGAGATTTAGGACTGTGTCTTCTCTGAAAATGTAGACTTTGAAGTTGAGCGAAGGGAAAATGGATCGGACCAGCTTTGTCAAAACTCGCGGGCTCGTCGCGTCGAACTCAGCGGCGATGAAGTGGAAGAAGACGTGTTCTGGACAGGACGCGTGGCGGAGGACTGAGTGAACAGCCGCCATGGATCCACGGAGGTACTCGGAATCCAACGTCATCGCCACGTGGACCAATGAGGCATCACAAGACGATAACGTTTTGCCCTCCGCCGTTACCGGACATCCGACGCCGTTCCTGTACTCCGGCGCCTCCGCAAATCGTCTCTCCTCAGGAAAACTACGAATCCCATAACACCGCGAAAACGATAGAGCTAACAGAAAACAAACCACTGTAATATCAAAAAACCCAAAATGACCCATTTTCATCTGGGTTTCTGGGTTTTTTTCTTTGTTGAGAAAATATGATTAACGTTCTCAAGTAGTTTCTCTCCCTATATATTAATGTGACATTATTGATACAGCAGTATGGTGAAGGAAAGAATAGAAGGAAAGGGAGAGTTCTGGAAAAGGAAAGGTCAATAAATTACCATATATATACATATTGAATATCCAGATTCGTTCAACAATGGTAAATTCGAACAAAAAGACTGTATTCAGTGATTATACTCAAAAACTCACTTTTAATTTTATTACCATAAATACAGAGAAAAATATGGGATTTTTTATTGCTCTTTTTCGCTGTCATTATCTATCATTTCTGGATGGCATGGGGTTGGCTTGATTATATACTATATATAAAAACTGCAAGCTCAATGCTACTGTTTACACGCGCGGTTTAAGGTGCGCGTGCGATTCAGTTGAATGAGTGTATAATCTAAAGGTGATTATAATGGGGAATTACGTAATCCGTGGAGATTAATTTAGTAATTACAAAAACAAAAAAAAGGTAAAGGGTTTTCGTAGTTGGTAAGTTTTGGAATTTAATTATTGGAGTTGTTTAATGAAATACTATACGTGGAAGTTTGTTATGAGAAAAGACATAATTTTCGGTTGGGTATAGTTAGTAGTTAGCTCTAGTGTATTTTTTGTAATTATTTTTAAGTTTTTTTTTTTTTTTTTTTTATCTCTTCCTCTTCTACCCAATGTCACATATATATCTTTTTGGCATATCCATTATTTACCTCCAAATTAGATAAACTGGGGGGATGAAAATGCTCTGTTTGGAAAGATTTATTTCACGTGCAGGTTTGATATAATTGAATTTATATTTAATTATTTGGTTCACATCCTAATTATGCGAAAATTATGTATTTGCAACAACTTATACTAGTATTACTCAAAAGTAGAGTCCCAGGCCTAATATTTTTCTCTCTAGCTTTCTTTTATATACCGCTACTTTATTTTGCTTTAAGTGGCCCTTTTCTTAATGTTTGCTTATAAAATTGTACTTGTAAGCTTTTGACTTAACTAGTCAATTTTGCATAATTTTTCTTATTTATTGCCATATTTTTCATTGGGTTATTGGTTTTATTTAAAATAATTAATTATAACTATTTATAATAAGACTAATCATGATAAACGTTGGCACAGTTTACATAAACATAATTCTCGTTTCAAATGTTTAAAGCTACGAGCAAATATGAGCTTGAGAATATTCTTAATAAATGTAATAATAAGAAGTTAATTAAGCATCGGTTTCGAACCCAAAAAGGTTTAAGAGGTCAATTGAATTGAGATCAATCTTACGAGGCATTTTATAATTTGGAAGGTAACAAGTGTCTAAATTAAATCTCTACGTTTGCCTAAGTTACTGTTACGTTTCCTTCTTTGTGCATTTCGAGTTAAAGATCCTTGATTTACCTAATTGAATTTGTCTTCAAAGTAATTTCGATGCCATAAATCATTACGTGGACATCACGTCTTGGCTTACATTTATGACTTTCGTCGTCATTGTAATTATTCGCAGAAATA